CAGCAATGCATGTCAAATCTCAAATAAGTCTGGAGATTTTTAAAGTGCCTGTATTTTTATTGTTTTAGAAGAGAACATGATGAAATTTGCAGTGACACTACAATGTTAGTGCAGTGATACAGAGGCAAAATATTCAAACCGTCATCTGACAGTCTGTTTGTGGAAAAGAGAAAAAATGTTCCTAAAATAATACCCAAAGTATACTCCAATGAATTAATGTAATATGCTATTTTAATTGCTAAACTGATTTAAACATTCACTATAGTACAAGACACCTGTGCAAAATGGAAAGCAAGTTATTTTTGAAGAATTTCAAGCAAACAAGAATAACGACGATGATGATGATGATAATAATAATAATAATAATTAATAATAATAATAATAATAATAATAATAATAGGAAAGGACCTTGGAGGTCATCTAGTCCAACCCCCTGCTCAGGCAGGAAACCCTATACCATTTCAGAGAAATGGCTGTCCAGTCTCTTCTTTAAAACTTCCAGTGTTGGAGCATTCACAGCTTCTGGAGGCAGGTTGTTCCACTGATTAATTGTTCTAACTGTCAGGAAGTTTCTCCTTAGTTCTAGGTTGCTTCTCTCCTTGGTTAGTTTCCATCCGTTGCTTCTGGTCCTGCCTTCAGGTGCTTTGGAGAATAGCTTGACTCCCTCTTTTTTGTGGCAGCCCCTGAGATATTGGAACACTGCTATCATGTCCCCCCATCGTCCTTCTCTTCATTAAACTAGATATACCCAGTTCCAGCAACCGTTCCTTATATGTTTTAGCCTCCAGTCCCCTAATCATCTTTATTGTTCTTCTCTGTACTCTTTCTAGAGTCTCACCATCTTTTTTACATCGTGGTGACCAAAACTGGATGCAGTATTCCAAGTGTGGCCTTACCAAGGCATTGTAAAGTGATATTAATACTTCACGTGATCTTTATCTAAAACATATTTTACATTTTACAGAATTGGGTAATAAAGTGCAAGTATTCAGAAACCATTTTATCCATGCTTTTCCAACTTTAGAAACTGTCTTGTTTATGCACAAAATTGTCAGGTCCTGGAACCTTCAGGTGAGACATTATGCGTAGGCATAATGCAACAAACGTAGCCTGATATTCAATCTTCTAAAATTTAACCCTAACTTATCAACTTATAGATAGAAAAAAGTGGATAAAGATGAAATGCTCACTGCGTGTTGAGGTTTGCAAATGTGACAGTTGTACATCAAATCAGAGAATGCACAGTATTTTCCAATTTCACAGTCTTCATCTATTATGCACTCCTGAGAAAAAGAATAACAAATCTTCAGTAAAAGAAAAGTGTGGTTATTCAGTAAAACTACATGCGACCAAAGATGCATTTTTGCTCCAAAGGCACCTAGGATAGCAGTGTCTCAATACTGCATTACATAACAAGAGTAATAAAACAATCCTGATGCCCCAAAATGAATTATAGACAGTGTTTCTATTCAGCCCATCTGATCCTAATGTTTCAAAAGTGCTTTAGACTATCTCTTTGATGAGTTTTCTCCAAATTACATGCCCCAGACTACAGACCAAATACAAAGAAAGTGCACATTTCTTCCAACATGAAAACAAGAAAAACTGGTCTGTGTATATATGGCTCTCTCTGACTGATTGCCTAACATTGTATTGGACTAATTTATTTAATCATATAAAATCAAACATTCCAATAACACAAAAGAGTCTAACACTTTGGTACACTTTTTTCAATACATACATCAAATAAATAAAAAAATGCAGACAGTCTAACAACTTTTAAACAAACTTTTAAAAAGCTACTTACAACCCATCCTCAAAGTTACAACTACAGCTGCCCCTCACCTGCAGTCATGTGATAGGGAGGCACTAGGCAACTGACTGACATTTACAGTGACCTGTAGTTACATAACTATGTATCAACTTTAAAAATGAGCGTGGCTGCAGCCATTTCCTACTCATTTTCGGTTGACACAGCACGGAGGGAGGGGGGTTTACCAGGTGCTTCGCTAAACTAAACAGATTTTTTCCCATGGGAACCAAGGTCATCGGCTGCTCCCAGAACTGCAGGCTGGGCATTTTGTGAAAAGCCCACCAAGAAGTTGTATTGGGGAACGCAGTAGCATGCATAGCTTTAGGGTAGGATTTCTTAACTTTGTATTGGGGATTGTTACTGTGTATTCAGACTTGGTTTCGTTTTTGACATGCCGATACTTTGTATCAATAAACATGTTCTTTGAGGAACTTGCAAGCCGGAGTTCTGCTTTATTTGTCTCTGTCTGTCGGAACCATGACGCTATGATTTGCAATGCAAAAACTGCCCATTCAGAAAATTGATTTGCTTAATGGCCATGTGATTCACATAACAAGTCCAATCACATGGTGCCTCAACTTTACTATTGCAACAACTTAGACCGAAACTCAAGGCTCAAAAGTTAAGAACTATATGCACATAGCAAATACACTCCACAGTAACTTACTGTACTGAAGAAAATTTTCCCTAATACTGATTTAGTGATTAAACTTCCAAGATATACCAAAAAAGTGAAACAATTTTTGCCTCATAATTTAAATTTGACCAAGAATTTCACTGAGCGATCAAAGTTATTGATTCATAGTTATTGATTTATAGTTGCATAAACTGAAGACTGAACCCTGAAGACAAACCAAGAAATAATGGATTAGCCAGACCCAAGCTGTCTTGGATTTTATTAAACAAAGAGTGAGCCTCTCCACCCATTTCCTGCATCCTTATTATGAACGAAGAAAGGCTGTGCAAATACGTTTACATTTAGCAATCCCTGTGACAAGGTGATATCAGAACTGAAGTCCAACAGTTCTGGATAAAACAAAGCTTTACCCTACTGAAGAGTGGCTTCCCTGTTTGGCTCTCCTTTTAAACTTTTACTCCTAATACCATTAGCCTTATTTAGGCATGTTTGAGTATCTATGGCTTTCCTAGCCACGCTTCCACAAAGTAGTAGTTACTTCCAAAAGCCCTCCTCCCAAAAAGTCTGATTTATATTCCTGATGTTGGTTCGATGGCCAGCATTCATGCTGTCGGTCTCAATAGGTAGCTGTCTTCTGACAGGAAAAAAAGCAATCACGTCTGTTTTAATTCTTTGCAGCAGCTCCTTCTTGTCCAAAAGTCTCCTGCTGATAGCTATTAAGTTTTCCACTCATTCTGCTTGGCCCATCTGAAGACTAAATATTTAATGTGTTTTTCCCTGCCTTTCCTTCTCTGATTTATTTTTTTTAAGGCACTATCTTGAATATTTGAATATGGAATATGGATTGAATATGGAAATATGCTGTGTTTCATGTAAGAATCAAAAGTACTTTAGCTGCAAGACCTTTTAAAGAAAGGTAGGGTTTCAGCAAGTCTCCATGGAAAAATCTACGAACTGTGTAGACAGCATAAGAACTGCATACATGGATAAAAGTCAAATGTGTTCACTAAAAGAAGCAAAAGTAAAGACACCCTCAAATCAAGCTTATCTCCTGAAGGCAGCATCCACAGAAAAGATTCATCACAGCCTTCTTCTAAAAGGTTTCTACAACTTCCCAAATTGGTTAACTCCAATAAAATTCTTGGCATCCTTCACCCAAATGCTAACCACGGCCTATTCCTATTTAGCTTCTAAGATCATCTGAGCTCAGGTAGCAGTTGCCACCTGCTGAGGCAGTATACTTACTACTACCATGTTTTCCCGAAAATAAGCTCCACCCCCCAAAAAAGACCTACCCTGATTTTTGGGGGTGGACCTAATATAAGCCCTACTCCAAAAATAAGCCCTTCTTCAAAAATTAGGACCCCACCCATCCATCCCACCTTGCTACCGCAATGGGGCAGGAGGCTGCGCAGTACATCACGCCGCTGCCATATCACGCTGCTGCCACAATGAAGCGAGGCAGATGGGGTAGAGCTGTCCCATGAGCCCCACACCCGCTTCCTTCAGCCCCCCCCCCCCAGCCAGGCCATTCCTTGCTCAGTGACCTTCCCTTTCATTTCCCTCCCGAGCTGGACTGCCATGCTACGGAGGATGGGTGGGGTAGGCCCGGTTCCCCTCCACCGTTTCAGAGCCAGGGGGAGGGGTTTTTTCTCACGGGAAAAAAATTCTTGCGAGAAGTTGGACGGTCTGACTGAACTATTTTTAGTCCCACAAACTCTGTTTCCCTGCAGCAGGAGAGAAACGCGCCAGAGCTGGAAAGCAGGTTAGTGTTGAAATTTTTTGCTTTCAGGAAGAGAATCAGCAGGAAATGGGTCTGCCATTTTCAGAACGGAGAAGGAAGATGCGGGGTGATGCAGGGCGGCAAGCAAGTGCTCTTCTCTGGTCTGCATCACTGCGCAGAGCCGCTCCATTCCCCGTTCTCCATTCTCTCCAATGGCGGCGAAGGAGGACTGGTGGAAGGAGATGTCGGGGGAGGCTTGTGCCACCCAGTCACGGCACAAGCCACGGGAGAGTTGGCGGAGGAGGCAGCAGCTGCCACTGAGCAGGTGATCTGTTGGTTGAAGCGTGAAGAAAGCCCCTCCAGTGGCGCATAGCAGCAACATAGCCTTTCACCATCACTCCCCCCCTGGCTCCAAAACGGCAGAGGGGGACCGGGCCTACCCCACCCATCCTCCATAGCATGGCAGTCTGGCTTGGGAGGGGAATGAAAGGGAAGGTCACCGGGCAAGGAATGACCTGGCTGGGGGGGGGCTGAAGGAAGCGGCTGTGGGGTGCATGCGGCAGCACCACCCCCTCGCCTCGTTGTGGCAGCAGTGATGCAATATGCCACGTGGCCTCCTGCCACGAGCGGCCGCACAGAAGTGGGCCATCAGCCATGCGGGCTCCTGCTGGATGGGGCTGTTGGTGCCGCCGCCGCAAGGCGAGGCAGGTATCATGAAAATTATAAGACACCCTCTGAAAATAAGTCCTAATGCCTCTTTTGGAGGCAAAATAAGACCAGGCCTTACTTTTGGGGAAACACAGTATTGATCAAATTACAAGTGCAGTTACCGTGGCTTGATCCAACCTGGATGGGTGGATGGACAAAACAAACATGCTAGTCACAATCTAGAAACCAATAAAAAACCTGGTCTCCTTCTATCAACTGTGCTCAATCCAATGCAGTTCCCCAAGTGAGACACAATTATGTTAGTGGTTGTCATCCAGTTGTGAGTTATCCCTTTCAGAAAAGGAAAGCAATGAAAATGATGACTTTTTTAAAAAAGACTTGTCCCAAATGTTTTATCTTCTGGTTAAAAATAAGAAGTTGACTTTTTAGATCCTTGCAATGCTACATTCTCTAAAATATAGATCATGAAGAATATTTCCAAATTTTATGACTTTATCTTTTTTGTTCAACTGCTGGGCTGCATAAACATGTTGCTTATTATGCTGATTATATCTATAGCAGCATGTCGCAGAATCCAGGTGTGGAGAGTGCCTTAGAATGAATAAAAAACTTTTTCCTGTGAAGATACACCAAAAACTTATGTCTGATTAGCTTTGCTAAGTTAGTGACAATAAAGCCAAATGTGGAGTTATTAACAAAGTACTGTTTAACCAATAAGACCAATAAGACCAGAGTTCTTTTCTCTCAACCATTAAACTGAATACATGTTTTTGTTTGGCCCTAACTTCCCTTCTGTATAGGTTAAGTGTCAAAAAAGAGGTTTCCATCTTATTTCTTAGATCAGTAGAAAGGACACCCTCCTTACAAACACTAAAATTTGTAAGACAAGAGTCATAGTAAATAATAACAATAATAATAGTAATAGAGTTGGAAGGGACTTTGGAAGTCTTCTAGTCCAACCCCCTGGTATAGAAGCCCTATACCATTTCAGACAAATGGCTGTCCAGTCTCTTCTTAAAAACTTCCAGTGTTGGAGCATTCACTGCTTCTGGAGGCAGGTTGTTCCACTGATTATTGTTCTCGATGTCAGGAAATTTCTCCTTAGTTCTAGGTTGCTTCTCTCTTTGATTAGTTTCCATCCATTGCTTTTTGTCCTGCCTTCAGGTACTTTGGAGAACAGCTTGACTCCCTCTTCTCATCTAGTAGATGAGATGTTTGTCGTAAAATCCTAAATATCTGGTCCAGTCTAACTCAAAAACATTTTTTAAAAAAATCAACATACCAGTTCTTTCTGCTCAGATGCACAATATGCACACAATAGTCATGGAAAGAGCACTCAGTACGCAAGAATGAATCATAAACAGAATCACTTTGTCTCAGAGAAGAGAAATCCATTCTGTTGAACTGCTCTATGAAACAAAGATGACAGTATCTGCAGGCAATTAATAGCAGATCCTGTAATCAACAAGAATTTGGGGCCCTCAAGAGGTATCCTTCAACAGATATAAAATGGAATCCATGTGATACCAGAGCCTATTTATAACATCTGATCTGAAACCTTTAACTTTAAAATGTAAAGGCTTTTTTTTTCTACACATGCATTACCCATGCAACCCTGTTATTATGATTTACATGCTTTCCTCTGTTAAAAACCTCATTATCACATTCCTAAACTCAACACAAAAATTGAGGTATGGTGATGTGGTGAAAATAATATTGAGAAATAATAATAATAATAATAATAATAATAATAATAATAATAATAATAATAATAATAATAATAATAATAATAATAATAATAATAATAATAATAATAATAATAATAATAAAAAAAAAAGTTGGAAGGGACCTTGGAGGTCATCGAGTCCAACCCCCTGCCCAGGCAGGAACCCTACACCATTTCAGACAAACGGCTGTCCAGTCTCTTCTTAAAAACTTCCAGTGTTGGAGCATTCACCGCTTCTGGAGGCAGGTTGTTCCATTGGTTAATTGTTCTAACTGTCAGGAAGTTTCTCCTTAGTTCTAGGTTGCTTCTCTCCTTGATCAGTTTCCACCCATTGCTTCTCGTCCTGTCTTCAGGCGCCTTGGAGAATAGCTTGACTCCCTCTTCTTTGTGGCAGCCCCTGAGATATTGGAACACTGCTATCATGTCCCCCCTCGTCCTTTTTTATTGAAAACAATATTTAAAGGAAAATTAAGACACATCCTTACAAACCAGGTAGGGCAGAAATGATCCTAAACATGACAACTAAGAAATAAGCCTATTTCAGGAAATATGGATTATGTTTATATAAAAAATGTATAACAGAACTAACTACTTGTAATTATATGGTAAAGAAACACAAAGGAACCAAGTAGAATGTTATTTAACCCTTTATCATACTGAAAGTAATTTAAAAGTTTCCTGTTTGGTAATGAAAGTTAGTGGGCAGACAATGACATGTGCATCATGTCATCAGAGAAATGACATGACTTGTGAACTGCTGTCACATATTAAAAATAAATTATATAACTGGGCCACTTCCACAACAACAGTAACATGCACATGCTACTAATGTGCTATCACTGTGGCTTACACTATGATGATATCAGAATCACTTTCATTACCGCATTTACAGTAATCAGAGGCTAATGGAGTCTGTGGTGCTCTCTGAACTGGGTTGTTTTCTTGCAGACATTTCATTACCTGACTAGGTAACATCTTCAATGCTTCAAGGGAGTGCAATTTAAAATCCTCTAGCAACAGTCAAAGGATGGTACAATCAGCTGTAATTATTTTTCCCATGGCAAGAACTCTGTTTTTTTATTTCTCCTCCATGTGCTATCCATCTTAATTACATTCAACCAAACATGCATCTTTCTAAAAAATACATGAATGTATGGTTTTAATTTGCTGCTTTTAGTTTCTATTGCTTTTGTTTCAACACTGATTTGTTAATTATTTTGACAGTATATTACAGCAGACTTGGCTTCTTGTTAAAGTGAAAACAGCAAGTAATAAAACATTTTAGTGTGATAGCATTATTTTTTCTGGACTACAGCAGCTGCAGTTTTCAAAATTGTTTATACCTGCAGATTTGAAATCAAATTTGAGGTAAGCAGTAAGCAATAAATGCATGGAAACTTTAGTGCTTTTTCCATCAGTTTTAATACCATACATAAGTTAATAGTTCCCAGGAATTCACATACCACTACACTCCTAATGATTTATTGGTGGATATTTACCTATTTATTTGAAAGAAAGATGGGCCTGAGTTAAAGATGAATCTCCCCAAGAAAGGCAGATTAGACTGAAAAAATAATTCTCATAAAATCTAGTACAATTTTCCTATTTTAAATTATTTTAAGAAAAAATAGCATCTCTCAAGTAAATTAAAGCCTAAGGTACATATAATTTAGCTTCTTGGGGAGAAGACTCTCAAGTTATTTCATCAAAACCATTTCTAATAACTTTTCTGGTGACTGATCTTCTCACATGTAATTAAATACGCTTAATTTTTAATAGGCCCTAAAAAGTCTATTCTTGAAAATGATAAAAAGGTGGCAGATGTCCGATTCACCAATTTTATCAGTATATGCAGAAACATAAGATACAACACAAGTTTTCTCAAACATCTCAAAGATAGTTATCTGAACAGTTATCTACTAATTGACACCGAAAGCAAATAAATTCAAGAGAATTCCAAATTAAAAAATAGCATGATTAAATCTATATAAAAACATGTGAATGAAAGTTACACAAGTTATAGATTTAAGGATGGGTGATTATTCTACAACATTTTCTCTGCTTATCACGGAACCCAGAGGAAAGCTTACTGGTTATTTTGTAATCAGAAGCAAGGAGTACAAACCTAATTTCTGATCACGTCTGTGTCTTGCATTAAGTTTTTATATTATTCCATATTGCCTTAAGCAATACTGTTTGCACTAAATATTTCATATCCATACAATCGGAAATTACATTATCAAAGCCACAAGCAAGCTAAAATCAATATTAATTATATTGCAATTTTCCCTCCAGGTATCTTCCATTTGCAAGACCAAACATCCCAATAATTTAGAGAATTTAGTGATAATTACTTTAAAATGCATGACAGTATGCCTGGACAAATGGCCTATCTCAGTGGTGGCGAACCTATGGCACGGGTGCCAGAGGCGGCACTCAGAGCCCTCTCTGTGGGCACGTGCGCCGTCGCCCCAGTCCTAGGCCTTCAGCTGGATTTTATAAAACCTTTTCACTTTAGGCCTCCGCCACCCTGTGCAAAAAAAAAAGTTCAATCAATCAATTTCAACTTCTCGTGGGGAAAAAAAAGATCTTGCAAAGTTGGAATTGATTGATTGAACTTTTTAATCCCACCCAGTCTGCCATTACCCTCGCAGCCATGCCCACCCAATGGGCCACACCCCCAATTGGCCACACCCAGCCAATGGGCCACACCCACCCGGCACCTGACGATGCATAAGTGGGTTTTGGGTTGCAGTTTGGGCACTCGGTCTCTAAAAGGTTCGCCATCACTGGCCTATCTTACAACCACTGACAAATTACAGTCACCAGAGTAGCCTATAAATATAAATAATGTATATTATAATGGACTCAAACAATCCTATGTTTAGTTATGCCATATTGACAACTTTTACTCAAGAAATTTATTGATATGTTGTTTTTCAAAAAAAAAGAATTACTTACATGATTTCTCTTTCTGCCTTCTTGTATTGATGTAATAATAGTCTCAGAGTAGCTAGTAGATCCAGTTTTATTATCCGTTACCTAAGAGAGTAAAACAAGTACACAGCAAAGCAATGATTTTAAATAATGTTCCAGTGCTGTTTTTTTTTTATTTAGCTCTATGAACAGAACTATCACTTTATAATTATTATGAATCAGACACTTTGGAATTGTGTCATGAAACTGGTGGAATTTGAGTTTGGAGCAGAGAAATGGGATTTGACCTTAGTCTTTCACAGAACACCATGCAGTATCTCTAGACGAAGTATTATATATAAAAAATCTGAAGGAATTACATTTTAATGAAGTTACAAACATAACCACTATTTGCAAAAAAAAGAAGAAGACTAATCTGTCATGAAACCGATTTTACTAGAGAGGGATCTGTGGCAATCCAAGACTGTTTTTTACTTTTTTTAATGATGTTAAAAAGGGGTTAATAGATGTGCTGCTTAATGCTGGTCAACCCTTATAGGCGGTGGTCTGTTTCAACTGGAGAGGCTTTTTTAGAGCAGCCTGCAGAATCTGTGAAATATCTCTAATCTATATTTCTAGAGGAAAAATGGCCAAGGTTTAGCTGTGCAACTTTCTGCTATTTTGGGGGGGGGAAAATAAAGCAGGAATCAGTACATTAGGCCTCTGAGGAAAAACATTTCACTTTTATCCTTAGAATTTGTCAAAATGCCCCCAATATCCCCACCACTACCGTTATTAAACCTTTCTCTTATACAGCTTTTGGAGCCATGCCAGCAAGTAAGAAGTACGCAGTCAATTAAAAAATGTTGCCCACAGTTGCTTTAAAAGAGCTTCTAGAGATCTCACCAGAAACTGGAGGGCCAAACCACAAAATTTTATTAGAGTTATGCAATAGTTTAGATTTGAAGCCAAAAAGGTGCTTCAAAGTATATAATAAAATAAGACTCCAAACTCTGCAACTTCTTAAACCAAACGTATCTTTAAAAAACTACAGATGGGTGCTTTCTGAAATTTATACTACCAATGCATCTGGTGAACACTAAGTTAAAGAAAAACAGTGAAGACTATATGAAATACATATACAAATGCATAAATAAAAACATTTCACCTTATCAATTTCTTGATGTCTATGTATAGTTTTATTTCCAACTTTTGTATCTGTGTAGGATTCATTATGGTAATTGGCAGGAAGCTTCTGAAATTCAATTCCCATTATCTTTTTAGAGCCGTCTTCTTCTGCTTCCATCTAGAAAGATTATATTTAAAGTTACAAATACCATGTAAACATTTACATCACTAAATATATATTTCCAGATAGACTCAGCTTTGCAAAGAACAAGTGACTGACTTCATTATCCATGCAAAGTTATTAAATTTATAGAGCAATATACACATACACAAACCTCATTCAAAACTTTACTATTTGTGGTACTGTCTGCCATGTCTGAAACTGCAGAATATTTATTTTCCAATACAGAGAAGTTTATTAAGCAGTTTTGGTGGCAGAGGATATGGAATATCCTTTTGAAAGTGAAAGGTGATCTTTTGGAAAGGAAGAACAAGTTGGCAGCAATAACAAATTTCAAACCAGAAGCAATTTTTTCTTAAGATTCTATTCCTAATTATTTTCTCTGGAGACTGCAATTCTTTCTCCAGTATTCTGAGCTTCTATGCTACATCCATGGTAATTACTAATTAAACTTCAATTTCCTGATGCTATATTACCAATTTAGTAAAATTACAGAGCTATGTTATCCTTATGAATATGAATAGATATAATCAAAAGTTGCTCTCCAGCCTTTATACCAAAAATTAATATGTATGGATTACAAACAAAAATATTCTTTCATGTAGATATTTGAGGTAATATCATATTTATATTATTATTTCAATAATGACCATGATAAAACTAAAAATATTGCAATTTATACTTTTTATCATAGGAGGAAAACACATTCGACGTGGAGTTAAATAAAATGTTCATTCGTGAAAGACAGTAAAGAAAAAAATATAAAAAAACAGGAAGAGTCTAGAATATGTTTCTTTGACAAATGATTACAAAGACTTTTACAATTACTTGTCCTCTCTGCTATCTTATTCAATCTTTGAAAAGGAACAGTTGGCAATGCTTGTTATTTGAGCTCTAGGACAAAATAGTCCACACCTTCTCTTAAATCTTGGGTACCTGCCCTAACCCAAAGAGCAAATAAACATATCGTGTTTGCCTTTAGCAAATACATAGAAAGCCAATCAAGAAAAAAGAGCTGCTTAAAGGTAGTCAGGAGTAACTACTCTTCATCAGAAAAAATCTGATGCTGCTTATTTTGAGCTATCTGAGGCAGGAACACAGCCACATTGGTCACCGCGATGTAAAAAAGATGTTGAGACTCTAGAACAGTGTTTCTCAACCTTGACCATTTTAAGGCATGTGGACTTCAACTCCCAGAATTCCACAGCCAGCATTGCTGGCTGTGGAATTCTGGGAGTTGAAGTCCACATGCCTTAAAATGGTCAAGGTTGAGAAACACTGCTCTAGAAAGAGTACAGAGAAGAGCAACAAAGATGATTAGGGGACTGGAGGCTAAAGCATATAAGGAACGGTTACTGGAATTGGGTATGTCTAGTTTAATGAAGAGAAGGACGAGGGGGGACATGATAGCAGTGTTCCAATATCTCAGGGGCTGCCACAAAGAAGAGGGAGTCAACCTATTTTCCAAAGCGCCTGAAGGCAGGACAAGAAGCAACGGATGGAAACTAATCAAGGAGAGAAGCAACCTAGAACTAAGGAGAAACTTCCTGACAGTTAGAACAATTAACCAGTGGAACAACCTGCCTCCAGAAGTGGTGAATGCTCCAACACTGGAAGTTTTTAAGAAGAGACTGGACAGCCATTTGTCCGAAATGG